GTTTGTTTGCAACATCAGCGACATCTGTTGGCAGTTTTACGTTACACATCTTCAAATGACCAACATCAATATCACCGGTTGGAGTATGTGAAAATCCAGATCTGACTGTCACCATCTGAGCTGAGCGTGGAAACGAACCACGTCCGAATTTGTCTAGACTCATTATGCTAATGACTAAAGTATTGTACGTTATCGATAATGGTCGGCACTTTGCCTCGCCAATTAGCCCCGTCACTCATAGACATGCCATGGACGTGTCACGGAACTGTCAAGGAAGTGTCACGGAACTGTCAAGGAAGTGTCACGGAACTGTCACGGAAGTGTCAAGGAAGTGTCACGGAACTGTCACGGAAGTGTCAAGGAAGTGTCACGGAACTGTCACGGAAGTTGTCATGGAAGTGTCACGAAAGTATCACAGAAATGTTACACATGTTTTATTATGCCTGCCTCTTCTAATTCGTTCAAGATGGCAACAATCTCGTTATCGTTTGATGTATTTCCGGCTTGCTGTGATGCAATGAGCAACTTCAATCTATCTACCAATTCATTTGGATCATCCCAATACATGTATTCGATAGGTGCTGTGTTGTATGTCAACTTCAAACCACGACCACTGGAATTGGATCTGAACATTGGACGAATAATTTCTACGTATTTGAGTCTAGAGGAGGACTTCATACGTCCTGCAGAATTCAGATGAGCTTTGGTGAGCAAGAGTTTTTGCTTGTATGGGTTCGTATCATCTTTGGCAAAGGATGGATCATTATAGAAGAGTAATTGATAGAGGCCTGGGGTGCCACGGAACCGAAAGCCATCAAGAAGTATATCTCCAGTTCTTCGATGGAAATTCATTTCTTTTCCGTTGAGAGACCATTTCGATGTTACTGGATCATATTTGGGACCATAAACCGTATCGATATTTTCATCATTTGTCCAGTATTCAGTCAGATATTTTTGAGCCATCGCAGGATACTGATCAACGTAATCATGTATTGCAGCCGGTGAGATATTTTCACTATCTACAAAAAGTTCATCATCAGCATCGTCATAACCATCCTCATCATCATCTTCAGTATGCCCAGCATTATCAGCCACATCCATCATAGGTATGAAATTAGTTTGATTCAAATCCGATTGCTCCCTCTCCACCTCCCCATCCTCTTCCTCCTTCTTCTCCTTCTTCAACCCCAACGACTTTGCTCTGCTTCGCTTGATGTTTGAAAGTGTTCCATCGAGTTTTTCTTCTATGACCTTGGACGCGGAGGCAATTTGTTTCAAAGGTGATGTCAGTGGTTGGAATATTTTCTGTAACGCATCATCATCCTCAGACTTGCCCAATTTTAGTGCTAAATATTTTCTTCTGATTGATTTCGATAGTTCGTTGATTTTTTTCTTGCGCAGCGCATCAGCAACATCATCATGCATCTTGGTTGACGTCATCTTGATGAATGGTCCAGAGATCACAGTCTTATGAACTTATCGAAACCATTTCTATATCTGCCAGCATTCATATCGAAAGTTTTTGCAATCACCATCGCACCATATTGGTTGGAATTCCAACACTCTGAGCACAATGCTTTAAATTGATCGAATGACATGTCTGGTGACACATGCTCATCAAACACATGCTTCAAATTCATTTCATCCTGTCGAAATAACACCAACAGGTTACTGTTGTCTCGCACCAGCTGCTTCGGTATCTTAGAAAAAGTCTGGCATAGGTATGCTACGTCAATATCCTTGTGTCTACACATTGAAAAATATTCTCGAATTTTTTGCTGCTTGTCGCATGATACATCATCAAAAATGAATATCGAATTATTTTTCGCTTCTGATGGACTGATGACATCATCATTTTCTTTAAAGGGAAAATACCCAACACCTTTCACTGAATCCAACACTTGTTGCAGCAATTGATATTTCGGTTGGTACAACGACTTTGAATACACGTAAACGTTCTCGAATTTCGCGCCATTTGGATTGAACAGCAGGGAAAGCATCGCATTGGTCTTTCCACATCCGCTTGGTCCGCAGAAGATTGCTCTGAACGAATGGGGAAGCAGTTTCCCATGTTTACTATTTACTGGTGGTTTGGTTGACAAAATTTCATCCAAATTCACAATGGGTAACATCCGTTCTTGTTGAATGATCTTCATCATGTGATGATATATTTTTCATTTCATTAGGTATATGCAGAGTTGTCGAACTTCCTACACGTCAGTCTTCATGTTGCTCTACCACGGAGAGGGTGTGCTTAATTCTCTGATCGATAAACTTCCCATCGAATTACACATTCCAGGCTACAGATTTTGTGGTCCAGGTACCAAACTCGATAAAAGACTTGCAAGAGGAGACACCGGTATCAATCCGTTGGACGACGCGTGTCGAGAACACGATATCGCCTATTCACAAAATTCCTCAATAGAAGACAGGCACAAAGCTGATTGGATATTGGAAAATAGAGCGTGGGAGAGAGTCAAGTCGAAGAACGCTAAATTCAAAGAGAAGGCTGCTGCTTGGCTTGTCACCACCGGAATGAAGGTCAAACGAAAACTTGGCATGGGTCTTGTATCACAGCAATCCCTATCCAACATTATCAAATTCATAAAAAATGTACTATCAAAGTCAGATGGTGGTGGTGGTAGTACAACATCAGGAAGTGGTCTGAATAAATCTGCATTGAAAGCACTCCATGCAGCCAGAATGGCAGTCAAGAGGGCTGGCGGTAAAAAAAGAATCAGAGTACCAAGAATCATACCTCTTCCACACAGTGGCGGTATACTACCATTGATACCAATCTTTGCCGCCTTGGGAGCCCTAGGATCTCTAGCTGGAGGAGCCGGAGCAGTCGCAAAGACAGTCATTGATGCGAAAAATGCAAAGAAAAAGCTCGAAGAAGATCAAAGACATAATAAAGCAATGGAGGCTATCGGCAAGCAGGGTTCCGGCCTATTTCTACGCAAAACATCGAGAGGATTCGGACTGTACTTGAAGAAACAATCAAAAAACTCAAAAAACTTCTAGACAAGCTACCCAATAAATCAATGTACGATAAAGATGTGATAAAGTATGCCAAACAGCTGAAAATACCATATTTTCGAGGTGTTTTTATGCGGGACACTCTACCTTCCACCGGTCCATGGCATCGCGAGTGTGCTGTATTGAATTTGGATACCTCCAATCATGCGGGCACTCATTGGGTGGCTTACATAAAAAATGATAAAAAAGCCTTATATTTCGATAGTTATGGTAATCTGAAACCGCCCAGAGAATTGGCGCAATATTTGGGTGCCAGCACGAAAATCTTGTACAATAACAATCAATACCAGAATTTCAATCAAAGTAATTGTGGACGTCTATGTTTAGAATTCCTTTTTAATGAGACCAAGTAACTCGGTCATTGTGCATCAGTCATGTCTCTGATTGTGACGTTGAAAGGTCGTACATCTACGCTCTCCATAGACTTTTTGACACCACTTCAACTCGATCCAGACTCTGATTACGGACTAGCATTGTTGGGATTCCATTCATACAACAGTATACCGAATATCGACAAAGGATCAAAGTTTTATCTGCAAGATAAGACCAAGGCGGGAAAGATCATCGATATTCCCGAAGGTTCATACGACATTGTGGACATTGAGAAATTCATACGCAAAGAATTGGGCATCTCAAGTGCAAAGGACGTTGATGATATATTCTCGTTGAAGCCCAACAATAATACACTAAAGTGTGAGATTTCGAGCAAACAGTTTGCCATTGATTTTCGCCCGAAGGATAGCATAGCTCAAGTCTTGGGATTTTCAAATAGATTGTTGAACGCACAACAAGTTCACACTTCCGATTTGCCGGTCAGCATAACCGAAGTGAGAACCATTCACATTGATAGCAACGTTACTGCTGGAGCTCTCTACAACGACAGACCATCACATACGATCTACGAGTTTGCAGTTGCAGTCGATCCTGGTTACGCCATAGACGAGACTCCCAGAAATCTAATCTATCTACCTATAGTCAGCAGGCGGGAATTGCCCAACATTACACTCCAGATTCTAGACCAAGATTTCAGGCAGGTGAATTTTAGAGGTGAAGAAATCATAATAAGATTGGAATTGAAGAAACTCGCAAGATGGTACTAGTGTTTGATTACTCCTATAAATCAGATAATATACCATCATCAGCAACATCATCGGCACCAGTTCTCTCGACACCGTACACCAAAGCAGTCGTGTCTTCGAAGAGCAGCAGCAACAGAAAAACATTGACATTATCCAGTGTGCTGTTTCTGAAATCACTCAAAGACTACAATGTTGTTAGCACCCGTGTTCGACGTTTTCCGCAAACCCAGATTCGACGAAAGCATCACTAAAGTGGAATGGCGTACCTATTATCCATATGTGAAATCATTCGAGAACAATGATGTCATCGATATAACGGTTAATCAAGCAGATTCGTGGTTGGCCATGTTTGAAAGCATCATTACCATCAAGGGTAAATTGAAGGTGACCGGTGGTGGTACTGGTACATTAACCCACAATGCTGGAGCTTATCTCTTTGATTCCTGCACCTATGAATTGTGTAATAAAGAATTGGACACTGTCAGATATCCTGGAATAACGAGTACTGTGCGAGGATACTTGTGTTATACACCTGAAGACTCACGTCATCTAGCCATAGCAGGCTGGAACTATCCCAATGCTCCGATCCTCAACACCGATGGTACGTTTAGCATGAACATTCCACTGAAACATTTGTTTTCCATCTTCAATGATCATCAAGTGGCAACGTGGGGCAAGCAGTCAATCCGTTTAGTGAGAGCTCGCAATGATGCCAACAGTGTGAAGGTTGTCGAGAGAGCGAATACTGCTTTGCCAGGATCTCCTCAGACTCAAAGTATTGCTAAAATAACGATAGAAAGCATCAATTTGAAAGTGCCACATCTCACACCCAACGATGACATAAAGTTGCAGTTGTTGACACGTATCAAAGCAGATGAGTCTATGATGATACCGTTTCGCCGATGGGAATTGCACGAGCTACCAGCACTCACACAAGGATCTACCATAGAAATCTGGTCCGTCAAGACATGTTCTGCATTGGACAGTCCAAGATATGTTATAGTATTTTTCCAAACGAAAAAAGCCGATAATTTGCATGAAGACGTCACCTTGTTCGATAATGCCAACATCAAATCCATACGATTGGCTCTGAATAGCGACTATTATCCGCAAGAACGAATGCTATTGGACTTTTCCCGAGACCAATATGCTGACGCTCACTTCAACTATACAGAGTTCAACAAGAGCTACCATAACTGTCAAGAAAAGCGCTCTCTAGTAAACTTTGCCGAATTCAAATCCCGACCAATGTTTGTTATCGATTGCTCGAGGCGCCATCTGGGTCTAAAGTCGTCCACAGTTGACATAAAGTTGGACATTGAAGCGACTACAGGCTTCCCTCCCGACACCAAAGCCTATTGCATCATCATTCACGATCAAATCATGGAACATCTCCCACTCAGCGAAATTGTTCGAAATATTGCCTAGGTGGGTGTTGCTGCATCAGTCAGACGTCAGTTTGCTTCGAAGAGTCATGGAGATCGCACTGGTTGACATTCAAGGGTTCATGGTTGATGGTGAATTCATTCCAAAGGAAATGACCATTCGCATTGGCAAAAAGACGAGTCATTTTCTATTCAAGCCATCTGTAGAATTTTCGAGTTTGAGCAGAGAAGATAAAAAGATGGCAAATCATGTGGAGCGTTACGTTCATGGTTTAAAATATTCCAGTGGTTATGTGGATTTGAATGAGTTGGATCAAATACTACGAGATAACCTACAGCAGACAAACATCATCTACGTAAGAGGCCATCAAAAGATTCAGTTCTTGCAGCGAAAATGTGCAGAGTTGGAGATGACCAATCACATTGTTAATTTGGAAGATTTTGACAATTCTTGGTGGCAGCCAATAACGTTTCAACAATCCATTCCACCTTGCATGAATCATTTCCATGGAGGAAGGTTCCAGTGCAGTCTCCACAATGTCGATACTTTATATAATTGGTTATGTAATTTATTGCCAAAATAAAAAACTATATATCGTAATTTCAGAGTTTTTATTCATCACATCCCTTATTTCTCAGTATAATGAAAATAACATGTGAGATTAAAATGAGTGAACATATTAGTGTACAACAAAGTGTCAAAATTGCAATGATATTGACCGAATCTTGATCATCATCTAATTTTGCGGGGGATTTCTTCAATGTAAATGTCTGCCAGTCTCCCATTTCGCCGTCACTGCCATCAGAAAACGATAATTTCAATTTGTAGTCGATGCTGCTTTCATTAACATGTTGTGGCATGTCGATTGAATATACAGGTAGTTTGTTATCATTGACATACATTCTAGTCATCATCTTCCAATCACATTGTTGTGTACGATTCACATCAAAACATACGGCTACATTCCTTGTATTGTACGGTATGTTTGTGTAGAAGACGTTGTTGCTCAGAGCTGTCAATAGGATGAAGCTTGCTTTCAGTATCGCCATCTAGTAGCTGTGTTGGTTGAATTCTTCTTCTTCTCGATGTAGGTGTAGCTGTGCGTCTCGGTTCTGTGAACACCTTGTCCCAAATACTCAATTGCTCGAAATCTTTGAACAAACAAACTTTCTGCTCATACAATTGGATGTCTGCACTGAGCTTTCTAACTTTCAACCCAAATTCTTCTAGTGCACGTCTGTATTCGTCAGAAGACATGATACAACTGTTTTTTACATCCATACTTTCAACCCACATCTTATTACATCTCTTTCCCTCTCTCTCTCTCTCTCTCTATCTCCCTTTCTCAGTTTCGCTGTATCAAGCTACATTATAGCAGCTCTGCAGATTGCCGATTGGTATAATTTGCTAACGATTGACCAACGTACATTTCAGGTAAGTGTCTTTCAAGGAATAACTAATGAAAAACCTAAAATTCAAACTCCCACCCTAACGATGTCTATTAGATGAATCATTCTCGATTTTAACCAGTAATAAAACCTACTGATCAACTTCAACACCCTCTATCGCGAAAACTAAAATCAAAGATCATTCCTTGATGTAATAGCCTGATGAAGAATCACTCTATTGAAATAGAAACATAGTTTTCTCAAGTTTGCCTGCAAATAACATATTACCTCCAAATGAAGAGAAATCTGTAGCACCAATGTTTCCACGCCATTCTAGACATTTTTCGATTGAGCAGTTGGTACTATTGAAATTATAATAGCGCGCCAATTTAGTGATGTGCGTGACTGTCTTTAACATAGTGTATCAAACATATAGGCAAAGGATATTTCAAAGGCGAGTGAAAATTATTCTTTTTAAATTTATGAATTCATATTGATTTTGTATGTGTGACAAATAGTCTTAATTTGCATTAAGATCATTTGAAACTGATGTTTACTGAAATTTCAAAGTGAAAAGTCGGTGGCCGGTTACTAGATATTTATTTTTATTAAATTCCAGTAGCCGGACAAGTGTCCGACTACTGGCAAAGAAGAACACAACTTGTTGTTTCTTTTTGGCTTATTGATAATATGATCTATTGAGCATTTCTTTCATGCATCACATAATATGATTCTTTTGTAAAACTCAGTCCACTGTCCGGCTATACTGACTGATTCACCCTATACATTGAGAGGCTTAATATGAAAAATAGTCTTCATGTGTGCATATTATATTCAAGCATTGTTATGCATTTTATCTGCCACTGAATCCGCCGAATATTTCAAAATCTGATACTCTTACAATAGATGAACTATAGACAACAATTAACGAGTTAGTGTAAAGGACATACACGGGTTCTCTTATCGTTTTTTCACGAAATCAACGAACTACCGAAATCAAACAGCTGTTCAAGTTGGAGCGTTCAAACAGGATGCCGTTATCTTGGTTGTTCTATATTTGGCGTATACAGAAAATCATATTCTTTCAAAGCCTAGAAAGATGATTAAATCAGCTGAGTTATAGACTAAAATTAACGGATAATAAAGGAAATAATCCTATTATTATTGATTCTCTTATCGTTCCATATGAGATACAAGGAACTATCGAAATCACACAAAAAACAGCTGTTCAAGCTGAAACAAGAGCTGTTTTTAGTCCTAGACCTAATATTCAATATCCCACACTAAAAAATATTTCTGCTATACAGGGCGGGTCAGCAAGAAATGTCGCTACCTCGTTTTTCATTTTTGTGACTCTTAGAGTGATTATCATCGTAAAAATGTCAGTCGACCAAAGACAGTCAGCAAGTCAACCAAGTTTATGATTTCATCACACTACCTACCAGTCATTATACAGGGTTTTTAAATATATATTTTTGTATGTCAAGTTGAGTAGTCATTGTGAGTCTACTCGCCTACCAGGTGTTGAATAAAAACGGATAATTTTGACATCATTTATTTCTTAGATATTATACCAACATTTTCAAGTTCAGTAAGAATAAAGGCAATCTCGTTGTTGTTCTTATCTGATTCCATTAAATATCTCAGTCTATCCACCAAGATATTCGGATCTGTTCATTCATCTGAAATATCAAACTCTTCATTCCCAATACTGGCTTCAGGCTCCACGCTCGACTTTGGACGTTTAGGCTTTGTCTTATTTTTGAAGAGGGGTCTGATAATTTTATCGAATTTCTCCTTATCAGCTTGTCCTCGTAATCGCCCTAATCGATCTCTATGAATAGAGCTGATTTCTAGCATCTGTTTATAGATCTGATGATCCAGAGGCGTGTAATTTCGGGGGTTCTTGGAAAATAATAATTCCAAAAGACCCAGAGTACTTTTAAAATCGACATTATCTACGCCTATGTATTGGTCCTCAAAGCGTAGATTCTTATGTCCAAGTGTCCATCTGCCGTCAAGATATTTCGGTCCATAAGCATTATCATAATCTGCACAGTGATATTTATCTAATGCTTGCTCTGATGAATGTGGCTTAGACTCCATGATGTGAACGCTATGGTGTCTGATATACAACTGAAGACTCTTGAATACCTCTGAAGACATCTGAATACCTCTGGAGACATCTGAATACCTCTGAAGACATCTGAATACCTCTGAAGGCGTGATCTGAAGACCTCTGAATACCTCTGAATACCTCTGAAGACATCTGAAGGCGTGATCTGAAGACCTCCGAATCCATTAACTGCCATCCGCTAATCAGCTAGGTTATTCGAATTGGTGGCGTCCACTCTATGGGCATTCCTCATATGGTGGTATAGGTTAGTTTTATTCAAGAATTTCCCACATTTCTCACACAATAGCTGATGTCTATTATAGGTGAATTTTCTCTTTTTAAAACTTTCCCAGGTGTAATTGATGTTAAATGGAATCCGCTCTCCACTATTGAGGCATTCTATTATAAAACAATTATTACAAAGTTCTCGTACAGTACACAGCTGATGACAGCGCTCACAAATATTAGCCATGACTACTCTATAAGAGAATATATAGTTGTTTTCGTATCCTTCCACTCCCTACATACATCATATTGCAAACACCATCTGTCATACGTCATATGTCATGTATTACGCGACATCAGACATTTTTTGAAAATCTGACAACACCTTATCGACTTCATAAATAATAATTTCCAACGTCTGGCAACAATGTGACGGTTATCGCAAATATTTCACCATAAATTTATTTCGATGTGATACTTGTGTGTCTTATCTCTAGAACGCATCTCTCGCTTTGCTCTACCTCTACAGATCCGTTGCAAAAATAACCGCGCGCCAGCGATGGATATTATTTTCGACTCGATGAAATCTCCTGCAATGGCTTTGGTGAAATTCACTGAAGAAGAATTGCAGTACATTCCAGTAGAATGTCTCATTGAATATGCAGATCCTTATGGGCTATTGGCTGTGTGGCACAAACTTCCTCAAGAATATCGCAGCAACTTTAACCTACAAATCAAACTGCCATGCTTCGTTCATTATAATCGTCCCGATTGGACCACACACTGGGATGGACCGCCATCTTCTCAAGAGGCATGTCATTTTTGTAGAAAAGGATTACTTAAATAAATAGATTATTTATCTTCGTTTTCGTATTCTTTCACCCCCATGGGCTGCCCTGTATATATTTTTTTTTTCAATCTTCATCAACTCAAACACCCTGTATATATTTCTTTCAACTCAAACACTTCTTCCATGCTAAAACATGGGACCGCGAACCGTGGGACACTCTGTATATATTTTTTTTCAATTTTCAATCAACTCAAACGCCCTGTATATGAAAATTCAATCTTGTTATTGTCATTAAAGTCACAGTTTGAGGAATGGGTATACGAGCGCGCGCTTATCATTCTAAGGGATCTCTCGCTTTGCTAGAACTTCGAACGCCATGAAGGTAACGGCATGACGTCACCCACT